AGACAGACAGACAGACAGATAAACAGACAGAAAAATAGCTAGACAGACAGACATTCAGACAGACAGAAAGATAGACAGACAGACAGACAGACAGACAGACAGATAAACAGACAGACAAACAGGCAGATGGACATAGCTAAATTGACTCAGAAAGTGATCTAAGCCGATTGGTATATATTTAGGTGGATATATGACCAATATCTTTGGGTTTTACAAACATTAGCATACAAACAAACGCATAATAGCCTCCCACTATAGTGGGGAAATGAAATCTAAATATAAACTGTAAAATTATGAACTAAGAATATAAGACCATGATTATGTCAAACCTATTGACTATTTTCAATTATTAACAAGTTGCTGTAATTCTTTCAAATACATGCTGTGTGTAATTTATGTCTTTGATTTTGTGGTAAGCACAAATTTAAGAAACTTAAAGGAAACCAAGTTATTCTTAAAAAAAAAAATATTACAACAGCAGCAAGGAAACCAAAGAAATATACACAAAGTTTACAACTCAAATAAATAGACGAAAGAAAAGGACCTAAGGAATATTCCGTTCGTAATGTATACGAAATGAAAAGGCAAAGAAATAAAACAAATGAACATTTCAACGTCACTTATAATTAATCACACGCCAGCGTTTATCCAGCATGATTTAGAACTAACAAATCGTTTCAAATTATTATAATAATTTATTATTTTAATCTTGAGTTACATGTGAGAGTGTATGAGTTTCTAGGGTACTAGTTGTGTACTAGAAAAAAGAAAATAAAAAGGGAGAAAAAGAAAGTTCATACGCACACATACATACATAGATTTTAGTTTTATATGTGTTATTGTACTGCTAAAGTATAATAAAAATAGAAATAACAAGTTGATTGTTGTTATTGTTTTATTCAATGCAAATAGTCGAAGGCAGACATCTTGAAATTGTTCAAATTTTTCAGAATCAACAGTATCAACAATAGCAACAACAATCAATGAATAAAGTAAATGAGTCTGAGTAGGGGAACATATAAACATTTTTTTTATTTATTTCCTTTTACTTTTGTTTAGAAAAAAAGAAGCCGGCAGTTCATCACTTCTCTTAAACAACTGCACAAACAGTCATATAATAATATATGAATGTAGATATGTATGTGTTTGTTATCGAAATGAAATATTTTTGCATTAGATACGTTTTATAGGCTTCATATTAATCTTTATGTAAATTAGTGTTAAAGCCAAATGAAGGAAAAAAAGAAACACAAAATCAAATGAAATAAAATAAAAATTACAAGAAATATACACACATACATATATATGTATGTATATACTTAAAATGGCGTGTAATTTATATTTCACATAGGATTACTCAATAGAAGTTGTTTTTCTTCCTTTCTATCTTTAAGATGTTTTTGCGTATGTGTAACACTTGTTGTAATGATAGATATTCCTGCATATTTGTATTTGATAATTAATGTTTGTATGTTGATTTATACATAAACTCATGCCTGAATATGTACATAAATATTTTCATACAAAACAATAATAACAATAACAACATATGTTTATTATTATGCTTTACAATGCTAAATACAACCATTTGTTTTGTAAATTTTGTTGGTTGTATAGAGTTGAAAAAAAAAAAAAAAAAAAAAATCACATGTTTTCGCTCTACGTAATTTTCTAACTTTTCTTCTCATTTTCTTGTTTTATTAACTTAAGATTGTTTTTGTTATTGCTATTGACGTTGCTATTGCAGTTATAAATAATAGATTGTTTTTCAAGGCTGCTGATAATAAACGCTAGCACAAAAGTTATGACATGCTATTAATTTACAACAATCAGATTTCTATAATTGTTGTTAAACAAAAAAATATTATTGATTTAAATGTTATATTAATTGTATATTTTGAACAGCAAAAGCGTGTAAATTTGTAATAAATTAGTAGATTTTAAATTGTACTAAGCTAACATCAACAATTTTATATGTTTTGTATACTGAGACGTATGTGGTATATTTTTAAGGCAGAATGGAAATTCATATTAAGTATACGCACCCAACCATATGAATTGTTAAAGAAAAAGTTAAAGTTTGTATTCAGCTATGCAAAATCTAATCCTTAAAGTATACTTTGAAATGTAACACTGTTGTAACACACAAAAATATTGGTCCTACACCCACCTTTAAGTATACCGATCGACTCAGAATCACATTTTGAGTCGATTAAGACATGTCCGTCCGTCTGTCCGGCTGGCTGGCTGGCTGTCCATGTAAACTTTGTGCGTAAGGTACCGGCCGCAATTTCCAAGATAATTTAATGAAATTTGGACCAAGCATGTTTTTTGGCACAAGGACGAAGCCTATTGAAAATGGTTGAAATCGGTCCATTATTTCACCTAGCCCCCATACAACCGTACCTCCCGATTAGGGCTTTTTATGCCATAATTTCGATAAATATACTATTATCTCTCTATAAATTGGAACAAATAAGTTTTATATAAGTATAAATGACACTGCAGATTTTCGTAATGATCGCCCCTTATTTGACCCTAGCTCCCATACAAATCCTCCTTCAAAAATGTTTTAAACGTCTAAAATTGACTTGTAACCATTTGTATCGCAATGAAACTCAACATAATTAACTATTATTTAAAAATATAGCCTTTTCCCAAATTTAATGAGGATCGGCCCACGTTTGACCTATACTCCTATATAAAGTCTCATTTAGAAAATTTGGTTCTTATCAATAAATTGCTTAAATACTTTGGAATTAAGGTAAAATTCAACATAAAAGTTTGTTTGTGAAAAATAAAAATTTTTTAAATATACTCATGGTGTAGGGTGTTATATGGTCGGCAATGCCTGACTATACTTTCCTACTTGTTTTAATTAAAACTAAGCTGCTAGGAGAATAAATTTCCTTAATATGATAGCTCCTTTTTATCATAAACGTATAATTAATTATGCCTGAATTACATCTAGTTAGATCCTCTAATTCTGTAATGTTTAATCTATATATAAAATAGGCGCATCATTGTCCTCGATATCGTTATGCATACATCTATAATATTCATTAATCCTTATAAACTATAAAGTGTACAGCATGCCATTGGCAAAACCAAAGGGGTGTTTCACCCAGGATGTACTCGGAGAGAGTTCTAAGCTACCTCAGCCTTTAAACATAAGATAGGGTTCTGACACTGAATCCTCAGATGATAATAATAACAAAACTATCATAGCGAATCCCAAAATGGATGAAATAGACCAAACGGTGAAAGAGGCGAGTGATAGCATAGTTAAACTATCTATTACTAAAAACGGCTTTAGGAAATCATAGTGAATCAATCTCGTGATATTCCAAATGAAAAATCTGATTCTCTCTCAATATCTGAGGCAAAGAGGATCAGGTCTCCCGAGGAGTTGACTGAGAAAGAAAAAGAACTCTCCGTCTTCTAATATACATTCGAAGCTGAACGGTGAAACAGGAAAAGAGCCGCCATCTTACGCTAAAGTTGCCAAGAGAAGACACTGGTACGATCTCTGCTATGCAGTATGTGATGCTGGTAATCCAACAGTCAAAATTCCGATAGACCAGCAGAATAAGGTAGAAGATCTGGTCAACAATAGGATAGTGGACCACGTAATCGATTCAAAGGGTAAACAACCAATAGAGAGATTGAGCTGTGAGTTCAGCATGGGCGTGATGTTGATGAAGTTGGCAACTCATCAATGTGCTGGCACCCTCAAGAACTTGGTGGAAAGTATCTCATCCTCCCTGGGACGGTGCTAAGCTGGGACTGGTAAAGAAAAGGGATCTTCCGGTGCTTTTAAAGTCCACTGCATTCATAAAAAGATGGGGCAGTAAATTGGCTAATGAGCGTATATTGGAAATTCTTGGATGTCTTTTACAGGAAAGAAGAACCCGAGGGAACTTTATTTGTAATAGGTATCGCCCAGAACTTATTTTGCCTCTAAAGCTATCATATTCAAAATTGGAAAGGAGCCGATTGGAAGGGATATTATAACAAACCCCGACAAGGACACTTAAATTTCTATGACGGTTCCCACAGCATCATTAGCCACTACTGGTAACGTTAAGGAGTGAAATCTTAAAAGCCAGGAAAAAGTGCAGCTGCCCTTTCTAATATTGGGTAGGCACTGATTGAAAGGGCTGCCACAACTGACCCCGAAAAGGAAACAAAAATACCTAAGACGGTGCCCAAAGCATCATTAGCCAGTACTGGTAACGATGAGGAATCAAATCCTTAAAGTGGCGAGTGGAATCTAACGCACCACCTCCGGTCTATCTATAAGTTATCTTATGTTTTGTCATCTCAAATATGATCATTGTATTTTTTTCAATCCTTACGAATTAATCTTCAATCTTTACGAAGTCAGATTTGGATTCAGCGCAGCTTAATTCATTGGACATGTAAAAAAAAGCTAATTTGTATGACCTTTGACCTCTAATATCTCCCTTAGCGTAATTGATATAAAAATTAACTTTTAGCCCCTTATTTACAGCATCTAGCAACCGTAGCTCTATGCCAATTTTCATTTAAAACATTTGACAAATTCTTCGCCTAGATTTAATGGGCAGTCATAGCGTATGAGTTATATAATTTCTCAAGAAAATCAGTTAATATTATGTATACGCATCCATGTATGTATGAATTTTACACAATAGATTTGTGAAGGTGGTACTATAATTTACCGTTAATTATGAAGTTAAAGGGGATTGTTCTACGTTATAACAAGCTGTGCAACTAACTATATATTTACGGTAGATGTGGGAATACATGTTTTGTTTATTACAAATATGATAAAAAATGGGGAAAATTATAATATGTAAAATGAAACTTTTACTACAAATTATTTAAAAACTAATTTACTTAAATAGACGTTACACGCAGGTAAAAATATTTACCTTAAGAGAAAAAAATAAATCAAGAATAATATCGAGTATACATATGTATGTAAATAAATATATTTATTTTATTTTTTTACTTACAATATAATCTCCTTGACTGCCATCATTCGAATACGATTCACTTTTTTCGGAAACACTTGACAGGGTTTCACCGGTAACGGTGTCATTGTATGAACTGGGTGCATACATTTCAATAGTTGCAGTTTTACCAGGTTGATTTGCTGTTTCGGCTGTTTGTGTGTGTATGGATTTTTTTTTTTTTAGATTTCGATGAACAAATAGATAGACAGAGTCACAAATACAAATAAATATGTAATACAACAAGAGTAAAAACAGTAGGAATTGCACATCAAAACACGTACGAGTAGATGGATGTGTGTGTGTGTTTTTGTGTGAGTGTGTGTGTAAACCAAACGAGAAAAATGGCACGAAGTTCAAATATTGAAAAGGTTGTAATTGCAAATGACAGCACAAGTAACGAGTATTGATTTGTAATGTTTTATTTTCAATTTTTTTTTTGTTATTATTTGTATTGGTATAGTTTTGTTGTTGGTGTTGCATGTGATAGAAAAATAAAGGAATAAACGATAAAACATAACGACAAGAAAGTAGAGTTTGTATGAGAATGGAACATACAGTGGTTATTTTAAATTTTAAATGAAAAAAACATAAAAATCGAATGTGAATTTTTTTGGTAAAGGCATTTTTGTGTTTTTTTTTTAGATTATAGGGCGTCAGAAAGACACAATTATTGGAAAGTTGATTTGTGACAAACGGGAACCATTCAAGTGATTTTGAGAATCATTTTCACGAGCAAAAGAAAATAAATGCCAAAAGCATTAATGTATACACATACAAAGACAAAAAATAAACGCCCGCACAGTAAAAAATAAAATTGAGTAAATTTTACATTCAATTATTAAAGAATGGCAATGTAATCCAACAAAAAAATATATCAAATTATATAGAAAAAAATATATATAAAAATACATATATGTGCATTTGTTGTTGTTGATTTTTAGCCATTGGCAAAATTAAGTATGATAAAGCAACAACAAGAAAAAAACATAAAAATATATTATAACATTAAAAGGTGGCAAAGAAAAGGAGTGAGAGATCAGTGGTGGTGGTCATACAGGTATTTGGTTGAACATACATAAAAACCAACAACAGCAGCAACAAAAAAATGTCATAAATAAAAATGCAATGTCCAAGTAATTTTATTTTTTATGTTGTAGTAGCAGCAGCAGCGGCAATTGTATAAGTTTATGTATGTATGGATGTGTATGAGTAAGCAATGGAAAGTGTATTTATATAAGAGAGTCATTCGATGTGTGTGTGTGTGTCAGAGTATGTGTGTTAAAATTTATGCCATTTCAACCATTTCCCATGGCGAAAATTTAAATTCCGGTTGGTAGTTTCAAGTAATTTGTCATTTTTCATTTGATGTTAATATTATTGTCATTTTATTTGTGTATGTGAGTGTGTATTAAAGTCCAGTTAAAAAATTGCAAAACATATAAAAAAAGAGCATGAATTTATTTTGAGCCACATACAGGACCAATTAAGCATAACCCAGCATAGTTGTTGTAGTTATTTGGAAGAGTTTATATGTATGTGACAGCACATAGAGAACAACAGATTATGAGAGCATGTGTATGCAAGTGTGTGTGCAAGTGTTTTTATATTATTAATATAAGAGCATTAACACATGGTGATAGTGTTGATAATAATGTTGATGAGTAAGAGTCAAAGTATGAGTTTTTATATATATTTTTTTCGCAATTTTTTACATTTTGATTTAAAAACAAACAAAAAAAAAAAAAAGAGAAAACCAAAATACGAGAAACCAATACCAACACATGCCACATGGTTAAGCCACAAATCGTTTTGCATCATAAAGTTGTGATGTTTTATTACAATCACAACATAACATGATAATGAAGTTGATGTTGCAATCCAATTTGTTGATAATGATATTGAAGACGATATTGATAATGTTGTTGATGGCAATGATGATGAAGAAGTTGACGATAATGCATATCACATTGTTCGGCATATTAAATGTTGTGGTGATTATTAACAGTTGTCATCAGCATAATGATATAGTATTGTAGCCATATATATACATTTTTTTATTTATTCCAGCAGCCAAATGTGTTGCGTGTTGAAAAATCATAAAATAGAAAAAAAGAGAAAAAGGAAAAAAAAATAGTTTATGAGTAAAAAGTGATTACATAAAAACGATATGTTGTTTTACTTAAATTTATATAAATATTAAATAAAATGGTATTTAACAAATACTGCCTACAGCATGTGTATTAATATGTTTGTAAAAAAAAATTAAACGATTTTAGTTACTCTCTTAAAATTACATAAATAAATTTTATAAATAAAATTCAAACTAACTTATCTAAAAGCTTTTTTTTTATAAAATAACTTAAAATATTTAAATATTTTCCGTAGAAAAAAATTGTTTAATATCACATGATGTATACAAAAAAAAAAATAAATATTTGTATAAATCGAAAAGAAATCGTTAAACATTAATAGTTTCAGTAACAAAGTCAAAATACTTTTTTCTTGTACCAGCACTCAAGGGATGACCCTTATATTTGCCGAGCTTTGTGCTGGAACTAAGAAAATAGATTATGGGAGGGCGGATGGAGGGAGTGGTGTTGGTGGACATTAGACATTTATGGCAGGAAACAGACTACACACTATCTACACTGAATTTTAATAGGTCATTCAAGACCATAATACCGACAAGGGATAATTGGGCCGCGAACACTCTCCTAAGGACGATGTGATCTCCATCTATACTGATGGCTCAAAGTCAGAAAGGGGAACGGGTTCGGGGACCTTCTCAGAAAACCTAAATTTTCTACTATCTCTTCGACTACCTGACACCTTCACGGTTCTTCAGGCAGACATATATGCCTACCCTACATACATATATACCTGGACAGCCTTGCATCTATCTATCAAGGCTCTTAACTCCAATGTTATTATGTCGAAATGTCTTCTCAACTGTATTCAATCATTGGCACAGCTGACGCAACATCACGTTGAGTTGATATGCGTTCCAGGACATGAGAGCATCCGGGGAAATGAAATATCTGATGAATGGACAACCAAAGGGTCATCCCTAGACTTAACCCTTGCGCAAAGGGATATCCACACTCCCCTGGCGACCCTATCAAAATTGATAGATGACTGGTATTTGAGTGAGATGGAACTCAGGTGGTCAAATATCACCACTTGTAGAATATCGAGACTACTCTGGCCTACTCTGACAATGGATAGGACTAGGACTCTCTTGTCTCATAGTAAGAACTCGATTAGGCTTCTAACTGGTATAATTACTGGACACTGTATAATTGGACATATGTCAGAGCGTACACAGAGGGAAAAAGAAATTTACACGCTTGGTACCAAATTGACACCAAACTGTTTATAATTTTTCAATAACCTCCGTTGTCAAAGTATATACATACGTACGACAACACTATGTAATATTGACAACATTGCAACAATTCGTTGTCGAAATCTAAATTTTATGCGCATCCGTTGTCTAAATGTTAACAAACGTGGTAAGCTCGTTATTGACAAACAATCCGTTGCCAATAGTGAGCTTACCACGTTTGTTAACATTTAGACAACAGATGTGTATAAAATTTAAATTTCGACAACGAATTGTTGCAGTGTTGACAACGTTGCGTTGTCAACATTACATAGTGTTGTCGTACGTATGTATATACTTTGACAACTGATGTTATTGCAAAATTATAAACTCTTTGGTGTCAAATTGGTACCAGGCGTGTATATTTCTTTTTCCCTCTGTGTATGGGCTACACACATTATAGTTACTGTAGTAGTTGTTTGGACGTAGAGGAAGAGGAATCGGTGCAACACCTTCAATGTGACTGCCCAGCCTTACAAGAGCACAGACTGCTCTATCTTGGTAGAGTTCTTTTCCTTGATCTGGACTGTCTCAGAGATGTGTCACTAGTAAACATGATCGGTTTTATTAGTAACACCGGCTGGTTTTCACGAAGACCACAAGAACCACATAGGCAACGAAAATAGGGAGGGAACCATTCTCTCAATATAAGGAAATGGCAATTCTAAGGGTATCACAATGGGCCACAAGGCCTCAAAGTGAACTTGCTAACTAGCGAGCAACCCACATAAGCTAACCTAAGACAAAAAATATAGTTTTTAATACATACAAATGTATTTAAAATATAAATTACTAAATGACAATTACACTACAATTAACTTACAGAATTATTATTGAAAATAACATTATACATAAAAAGCATTTTACCTATAATAACAGTAAAGGATATACATAAAAATACCATTTAAAAAAATATTTTTTTCTGTGGATAAAAACCTGCCAGATAAGTTTTTTTTTTTAAACAAATAACGAAAATACTAACAAAGAGCAGTAAAGCAATTTTAAATATTTATTAGCTAACTAATACTTTGGTGTTTTCATAATTTTTACTTAAACTGTAAACCCATATCATAAACATACATTTACAATATTGTCATAAATATTTGCAAAAGTATTTTTAGTTGTCGCCTTAAAATTCATATTTCTATAAAATAAATAATAATTTATATTTTGTTTTCCATATGAATGTATAAATACATTTTTCCTATAATTTATAAACAACAATATGTATTTTATTACATTCACATCACTATAGATTTTTTCCAATAAATTTTGTTTAAAAAAAATAACATGCAAATAAACCTAATAAAATGCTTTATACATAATAAATATATATTTAATAATTTTTTAAAGAATTTACATGTAAATATCAATATACATTTATTATAGAAATAGAAACTTGAAAGATACTCAAAACTTTTTCTCTATCTAAAGATTCAATTATTTTTTTAAATATATTTTATATTGTGATATTTTTTCATACTAAAAAAAACGAAGAAGAAAATAATGAAACAACATTTTTTAGTTGTTATTTTTTATTTTCAATAAACATCCATCACATTGTACGTAACAAAATACTTGGAAAATGTTGTTTTATCCCAAAGTTGCAAAGAAAGAAAAAAAAAAGGAAAATCAATCAATTTAAAACTGTTCAATAACAGTAACAAAAATAACAACGCAGGTTCAACTTTTTAGTTTAGATAAATTAGTTAAATTGAATTGATTACACTCAAACATACATACTCAAACATACGTTTTTTTTTCAAT